TATATATACTGTATATATTTTTTTTACAAAAATGTGGTGTCAAAGGCACTTTGATTATGCAGATGTTTTTTATTCATAAATGCTTTAAACTGTTTTACCATGTTATGATCTAAATGTTTATAATCAGTATGTTAACCTGAACTGCTGATTTATAAAAGATTGATTCATTGTTGTGTGAAAAGTTTTAATGATCATATACGGAACAAGGGAAAGACAGAATAGTCAAGTTTGAGCAAAGAGAAAGACTGAAAATCTGCACTTTGCTTTTAAACACAGCCACTGTTGTTGTTGGCTCTAACAGTGTTGGAATTGAGGCTCTTAATCCATAGAGTGTTAAGATGTTTTTGTGGTTGGTTGTAATAGAAGAAATTAGAGTAGTTTCAATTTATTAAGTGCATTTATTTAAAAATGCTAAAAAAGGTTATTTGTTTAAACAAAGAAGGCTCTAAAGATCCATTAAAGAAAAAAGGTAACTTGTAAATACCACTCAGAGAACAGAGCCCACAAACAGGATTACACCAGATTTGGATGATTAGATAAATTAAGACGTTTTCTTTATGTTCTTTCTAAACTTCACTAAAGACTGAACTGAATGGTATTGACAGCTGATCAACAGTGTAATCAACAGCTATTGATTAAATCTTGATGTTCATGCTTTGATCTGTGCCTAAAAAAGTCCATGAGATAAGTCTCAGACTGCAGACTACAGAGGTGTTAATGTCTACTCAGTTTAATAAACAAAGTAATTTGCATTATAATAAGTAAACATCAAAAATGACTAAATTCTAACTCTGAGCAATACTGACAGCTTCACTTTACCAACTCAGTCTACACTAGCCTGTGTTTGTACACATATCCTCATCATCTTGATGCAAATATTAGCAGCCTCAATTAATTGTAATCTTCTACATTCTTCATCTTTGATGAGCTGATAAGATACCAAAAAGTGGACCTCCACTGAGACTGAATGCTACAATAAAAAGACAATCAAGCAAACCGACATCTATCGTTCTGTCAACTCCCTTTTTTTATCGTTAGCCTCAATTTAACACAATAGCTGCATGAACTGCAGCCACACTGGAGGACAAGGATCCCAGGCAGCTCCTGTTAATATTTTACCACCTTCTGCTTTCAAACATTGTTTTGCTGCTTCAGGGACTGCAGAGTACGTGCAGACCGTGTGGGGGGTTTGGCTAAAAGTGGGAGGGGTAATGATGAAAGAGGCTTTTCTCAGCAGCTGATTAGTTCTTATAAAAGGCAAGGATGACAGCCTGAGTGAATAATAGTCCTTCAGCTCTGAGCCTATAAACAAGCCCTTTTATTCTTCTCTTAACACTTAACGCCTTTGACTCCAGTTGATTATGGGAGCTGCCTACAGCGCTGGACAGTAAGTAAAACAGGGTGTTTACTTTCAGTTATTGAATCTGAGTGACAAGCTTTAGATTTGCATTAATATTAATGTGAAATTGTAAGATTTGACACTCATGACTGAGATTCTGACTCAGATTTCATCAAACTTACACTGTAGAAAGCAGGAGCGCTCTCCTGATGGTGACTTCTGAACCTGAGGTCTACATTCCTGACTGAAACTAACTCATTTCTAATTACTTTTGACCTGAATAATGTCGGCTGTTTCCTGTAGATTTACTGCCTAAGAACACTAAATAAAAAAATGCTGGCACACACTTTTGAAAAATAAAAATAAAATATAAAACACCCATAAATATAGTTATAGTAGCCTATCAAATCAGTTTTTATTTCACTTTTACATGTTTCAAACATGAATAATGTTAGTTTGTTGTTTGACAGTTATGACAATTATTAATTGGATGTAAGCTGCAAACTGCTGCAAAGCTACAAAAAAGACTGTGTTGGGTTTTATTAGTAAAACATGTGTAAACAATGAACTCCTAAACAACAACAAAAAAAATTCCCTAAAAATCTGGAAAGAAAAACAAGGTGGAATTCCTGATACAGTCATGTCACCGAATGACGTTGGTCATCATGACTAAATTCCTAAAATATACATAACATTTTTTATACATTCCAGCTGGCATTATTCTGCGATACAAAAATTTATTTTCAACGGTCAGATCAATCTTAGTATCAGAAAAAAATATCAGAAAATATGAAACCTAAATAGATTACTTTTATTGATTTTTAAGTGGGTTTTTGTATAAACATTCACATAAATGCAACTTTTAAAATTTTAACAGTTCATTTGCATTACAAGAAATAATGTGGTATGACTGCAAAAAAAAAACAGTTCAGGCTGAAGCAAAAAGGCTACAGCTAGCTGCCGCAGATGATATTTGTCATTACAAATAACCACAGACTGCTTTGTGAAAAACAGGTTTGACAAAATCAATGCAACTGTAAATGTTTCTAAAAATCCCATTCTTGTTATAGATTTTTGAGATTTGAGAGGGCAATAATCCACTTTGGGCTTGTACTAAGCTTTAGCTCATACGCTCTCAGATGTAAGCTTTTTTTTCAAACAGTCATTCAAAGAGCTATCTACAACAGGTGAGATATTGATTGTTTATAACATTGCCAAAAAACCCTGTTTCAAAAAACCTGTTTTAAAAGAGTTAAATCTTTTTTTAGAAATATAAATTTCAGTGCATGTGCTTTGTGCTGTTTTTTTTTTTACGTCATGTTACTTATTTAATTTGGTTTAAATAAGATAACTTCTTGTTTATTTAATGTTCTTTACTTGCCTGCAGGGTGGACCACCTCTACAACTTCTTTGTGGAATGCTCACCAGATGTGTACATCAAAAAGAAGAAGAAGCACTGCAAGTCTTGTCTCAGCAAGAAGAAAGATCCCAACAGTTATATAAAGGACGAGGACATGACTGCAGAAAAAGGTCGCCGTACTTCAAAAAACTGGGAGGTAAGTTCTAAACGTGCAGTTACAACCAGAGAATAAACAAGGACTGTTTATTCCTGTGGATCATGTTCAGAAAAGTTTTTTTTCTGTAAACAGTTTTGGAGAAAACCCAGCTTCTCATAACTTACTGTAAAAGGAGAGAGCATGGCATTCCTGAGATTCCGAGAAATCCAACTCTCCCTGTCGGGATGGCCTTCCTCTTCCTTTTTTGTCTCACAGCTTCCGAGCTAAAGAAATACAAAAATCTGTGGGGGTTAAGCAATGAGTGCCCATGTGTTCTGAGTTTCCACCCAGTTATAGTGAAAATAAATCTGAAGAGGATGGAGCTTTCAGAAAGCAGAGTTGCAGAACCTGACAGAGAAATCAGGAGCTATGAAGAACAAGCAGGAGCATATAAGAGCATTTTATTTAGCCAAAGGCTGTGAGGAAACAATGTTGAGGTGAGATGAGTTTATCTGGGTTCATTAGAATATAAAGGAGAAAAAACTGTGAGAAATCTGCAAACATCAACTTGATTTGTTTTCTCACTGGTTTATTGCATCTTGTGCTCTGATCCAGATAATCTCAGCGAAGGAGAAGAGTTACCTGAGTCGATGCGGCTCAGTGGAATCTGAACCAGAAGAAAATGAATACGAGGATGAAGAGGACTTCCCTGTCCTGAGCGATGAGAGCCAGTTGCTCAATGACTATCAGCTGCAGAAGGTAGGTTTTACTCAGCAACAAGTTTCCTCTGATTACAACCAACAACATGAGTTATTAGATCTCGTTCCATCAACAACTTGTTTGTCCACAGCTTGCTGCTCACATGCCTGCACGGACTCAGGGCTACCAGTGGAATCTGGTTTACAGCACAGCCGTC